TTTTTTAGAAAAAAAAAATAATTTTCAAAAATAGTAGAATAAATGCATTGAATGTATTTAACTATAATTCTTTAATTTATTTCATAAAAATATTCAAATAATTTTTTCATTCTTATAAATGAGTATTAGCTATATAATTATCCAAAACATTTCATGAAAATACTAATAAATACTAATAAATAAATATTGTTCTAATTTTAAACAATTATCCACATTCCCAGTATTGTTCCTGCAACCATCCAGATTAACTCTGTTCCCCTTAATTTTCTTGATCTAATTCCAAAGCCTATTGTATGTCTATCGTCAGAGGATGTCGTTGGTTTAGGCCTTAATGAACGTGTAGTTGAACGTGTAGTTGATGAACGTGTAACTGATGAATGCGTAGCTGATGAATGCGTAGCTGATGTAGTTGGTAAACATATCGTTAACAATTGTGTACTTGTTAATATTGCAGTTGAATTTGTCAGTGTTGGTTTTGGCTCTGGCAATTCTGGTGATTCTGGTGGTTCTGATGGAGTCTCTGGTGTTGATGATTCTGGTGGTTTTGGTGCTGGTTCTGATGGCGTCTCTGGTGCTGGTGGTTCTGGTGGTTTTGGTGCTGGTTCTGATGGCGTCTCTGGTGCTGGTGGTTCTGGTGGTGTCTCTGGTTCCGGTGGTTTTGGTACTGGCTCTGATGGTGTTTCTGGTGTTTCTGGTGATTCTGATGGCTCTGATGGTGCTGGTGGTGCTGGTGGTTTTGGCGGTTCAAGTAATTTGCATACACTAGTAAAGTTATGACATAAAGGAAGAATTTTAACATTCGTTTCATTGCAAGAAGATGCTATAGATGAACATAAAGGTGTTAATTTTTGACATTCTATTTCAGATTTAGAATTAGTAAACAAAAATTTAAAGATTTTTAATGTAAGCTGATCACATATTTTTTTTAAATGTAATTCCAAAATTTTGCATGTATCATTAACTTTAGTACATAGCTCATTCATTTTTTCTTTCATAGTAGTATTTCTGCATACTTCACGTAACTTTTTTTCACATTTACTATGATTAGATATTTCTTCGCCAACGACTTTGATCAAAGAGATAATGTTTTTCTTTTCAGTTGAAATTTTGTTACATGATTGTTCGACTTGAGAACATATATTACTTAAATTAGGACAAATTTCTTTGAGCATTCCACAGTAACTAAGGAATTGAGAACAACGACCATAATTTATATGAGTTATTTGACCATTAGAAGATTTGTAATACGATAAATAAAAAGGTAACTGTTCGCAGTGTGTCGAAATTTGATCTAACATTTGTGTACATGATTTATTTTTATTAGTACATATGTGACTTGAGACATTTTCCGAACAATAATTGTCGAGATAATTCAAACAAGTAACGTTATTTTTTAAAACTGAATTTTTTTCTTTAAGTGTATTTAATTTGAATTCTATTAACTTATCTACATTTTCACACATTTTTTTGAAAATTTTGCATAACATCAAGGTATATCCAAAATATGACCCTAATTCATTACATTCTTCTTTTAGGTTTCTACACGTAGTATATTCAGGATTTAGGATTGCCGCTTTTAAATTTTCATCTAATCTTTCGCTGTTTTTATCAAGAAGATCTGTTAAATTTCTGCATGTTTCTTTTGGACGTAAACATTTATATAGTATAGAATAACTATGATACATAAAATCGCCACATTCTTCTAAAAGAGCATTTTTACAATCTCTCATAGCTTGATATAAAGCCATGATTCCTTGATCATCTCTTTTCAATTTAAGCTTTCCACTCAACTTTTTTATTAAAATCATATTTGTAGCTGCATCTAAATCTTCTTGATAACAAACAACTCGTACATATTTACAAGTATCGTAATTCGTCCAGTAATGAAAATATTTACCAATAAAATAACATATTGAAAGATATTCTTCACATTCGGTTTTTGAAAGAGGACGATCTGAATACTTCAAAAATTGATTGCTTTCTTCAAACTTTTTTAAAAGTGAATAAGAATAATTTTCGGTTTCGCAATCTATTCTTTTACAAATTTTATATTCACTATTCGAAGATGCAGTGCACATAGGCTTGATGTAGCTTAAATAATTTATCGAAGAACATTTTTCACCCAACACTTTTTTACAATATCTGTCAGCTCCTGTTGTTTTATTTGTCAAAAAATTGGCAATTAGTAAATCTGAAAGATTCTGTATTTTGGTAACATGTATACCTGAATTATATAATTTTCCATACGCATATTCAACACCATTTTTGTTCATATGAGTAGACGGGTTTTCAAGAAGATTAAAATTATAATTTTCCGAAATATCATAAAAAAAGCCTTTTTCTGCACAATCCATTTTTAATGAACGACATTGCGAATGAAGAGCTGGACACTCTGAAAGAATAGAATAGCATTTTTCTAATAAAGTCTTACATTTTTCTTCTGAAATTTGTTTTAATGGAAATAAAGCTTGAGAACTTTGACATTCCTCTTTAGATTTTGAAATAAATTTGTTACAAACAGTGTCAACATTGACACACAAATCGAATAATTCGGGACTTCGTTGATTAATTAATTGACATTCATTTTGAAGTTTCCTTGTACAAGTCTTTAAATCATTTGAAGTTCCTCTCAGAAAATCATAAACAATTACTTCAGTCACTCCCATACGGACTTTATTGTAGCAATACTCTTTTAATGTAGCACATTTAGTACCAATATACCTTGAACCATGATGTTCTAGGAAAAAGCATTTAACTTGTAATTTACTACATTGATCACGTTTATTTGTTTCTTTATTTGAAAAGCTAGTAGCTATTTCTTTTGCTTTTTTGGTAATTTTATAGTATGCATCCTTGCATGATGCTTTAGGGTTTCTACAAATTTCTTGGAATCTTTTATTTACGTCTTCTATACTAATGCAAGCTTCCTTTAATTTAACTTCACAATAACGATATAAATCATTGTAGTCATCTAATATAGTAGCTAAATAATAGTAGTTATCTATATAATTCTGCCTTAAATTTTCATGTTCTATCCATTCTAATTGTTTATATAATTGAACATGGTACCCATCACTCTTAAGTATAGAGGAAAGCAATGGATCATCTTCATATAATGGAGAATAATCATTGATAAGGTCTAAAAAATTAAAACTAAGAAAAAAAAAAAACAAAAGTTACTTAAAAAACCCTCCTCTTCTGAAAAAATTCTTTTTATACTAATAAAGATTAAAAAAATACACGTTCCTAAAAATAATTGCATAAAAAAAATAAAAAATAATAAATGAATTTATCTTATTTTTTAATATACAATTGATTTGAAAATAGATAAAAAGTTATGATATCAAAAAAATTATTTACTAATATATTAGTTAAAAAATAAAAAATATTATTCTTATATATCTATAACTTAATTATTTACTTCAATAGTTTCCAATATGCCTTTTGTTCTATTTTTAATAATCTATTTTAAAATATTAATTTCTAAGTTGCCTAGTTTAGAAGGTTATTTAGAAAATTTTTAATAGTTTATGTTATTTAAAATATTATAATAATAAAAGGATTTGTTTTTAAAATTTTTTTCGTGAAGAATGTATTAATTTTTAAGATTTGTCGATTTTTGTTTTTAGATATTTAGGGTTACTACGCGTACTACGCGTAACACTAACTTTAAATGTATAAGAAACATTAATAACTAAAAATTATATTAGATTATTTGTTTACAAGATTTGAAATAAATTAGTATTATATATATAACGCAATATTAATAATTTGCTAGTAAATTATTTAATTTAGATTTTAATTTCCATTTTTAAGACTAATTTTAATTTTATAAATTTAATAAGAATGGTTTTTATTATAATTATATATAT